TTATATTTTTTGTTACCAAACATTATTTTGGTAGCTGAAAGCATACTTTTTGCTACCAAATATGAATTTGGTACCAGAAAGACATATATTAAAGATTAAAAAATAAGGTTTTAATGTCAAAAATTATTTAAGATTCATTGTTCTAATAACATTATAACAAAAAAAAAGTTTTGAAATTGAGATACATTATTTAAAGTTAAAAATCAATCAAATAAGGAAATTATATACTATTCTATGTGGAACATATACTTAGTTAACAATATCACATATATATACATATGAACATGTCTCTTGCTACACCTACACAAAATAATTAAATTATCAAATAATTGTTATACAAAATACACTAGGATGGATTGTTAAAACTTATAGGACATATTCATAGAAAATTGAAAAAAAAAAATACAAGCACAAAATATAAATATTAATGTTTTATATGTTTTGCTACCAAACACAACTTTTGGTAGCAAAAAACGCCTTTTTGTCACCAAAATAAGAATTTAGTAGTAGAATCATGTTTTCTGCTACCAAAATTTGGTAGCAAAAAATTATGTTTTTTGGTAGCAAAAACTTGATTTTTTGCTACTAAAATTTGGTAGCAACAAATTATGTTTTTGGTAGCAAAAACTTAATTTTTTGCTACCAAATTTTGGTGACAGAAAACATGATTCTGCTACCAAAATTTTGGTAGCAAATGTTATATGTTTTGCTACCAAAAATAATTTGGTAGCAAATACCTCGGGCGGGAAAAAAATTTGCTTCCCGCCATCTTTTTGTTACCAAAACATTTTGGTAGCAAAAAAGTCATATTTTGCTACCAAATTTTTGGTAGCAGAATCTTATGTTTTTGTTACCAAATATTATTTTGGTATCAAAAAGCTCTTGGCGGGAACCAAAATTCTTTTCCCGCCATGTTATTTGTTACCAAATTATATTTGGTAGCGGATTGTGTTGTTTTTGCTACCAAATTTGGTAACTAAAGCCTTGATACTTTTAGTTACCAAAGTTTGGTAGCGAAAAGTGTGTTTTCTGCTACCAAAAATGTTTTGGTAGCAAAAGAGTTGGTCTCTTAAAGTCACTATTCTTGTAGTGATTAACGAATTGGCCCTTCTGATCAATATTAGTTATCAAGATTAATGCTATACAGGCTGCCTAGTGTTAATATTATTACATTTTTTTTTTGTATATTATTCATTATACAAAAAGTAAGCATGAACTAGACAAATCAAAATTAGTAATCCGAATATGCTCGCGATCAATCGCTTATTTATTTATTTTTGACTTATTGAGCAGAAGAATTTGTGTCGAAACATTTTCTATACACATACACGCGTTTCTGCCGAACGTCAACACTAATTAGCTAATTCAAAGACCACAAATTAGAAATTCTCCGAGGTATATATCATGATTCTTAAAAAATTACTTCTTTTTGTTTATATTTAACTAAGCAAAGAGAATGCATACAAATGCTTGTTAATTTGACATTTATACGAAGAGAGGTCAGAGGCATGCACCCGCATGACGTGTGGACCATTATAAAAATAATGATCAATAAATAATAATAATAATAATAATAATAATAATAATAATAATAATAATAATAATAAATAGGGGGAAATCTAGATCCTACTAACACAATTTAAGCAAGAATACGCATTCTTAAAACAGATAAGAATTAAGAATAATGGAACTGGCCCCACCCAATGCTTAATCTATGTATATAGTCATAAAAAACTGCCTTTTAGTGATTGGTCCAAAAAAAAAACCTGCCTTTTAGTCAAAAAGCAGGATGGTGAATTCAGCCAAACAATAAATAAATAAATAAAGCAGCATGGTGAAAATCTGACGCGTACCATATCTCTGTTTTTTCGAGTAGCTAATAAGATCAGTTAATTAGCGCATCACCGTTTTCAATACTGATGTTTTAATGCTATTGTAAATTCTATTCAATATTTACTCAAAACACGGATAGAAATGAAACAAAAGGACTAAAAATTCAAGCACTGACATCATCATTATGAAACAAGAAGCTCGCCTCCATTCTATTAACACTTCGAACTATGATACAAAAAGGGGAGGAGCCAAAAAAAAAAAAAAAAAAAAAGGAAAAAAAAAAAAAAAAAAAAAAAAAAAAAAA